CGTGCTGTGCACGCATGCAGGCGCACAAGCATCCAACCAAAGCGCTGGCTCCCCCTTACAGACATACCAGGGCACGGATTCTGACCGCACACGATGAGGCCGGGGTCGCTGGCGCAGAAGCATGTGTCGCAGGCTGCAGGCAGGCATGTCAGTCAAAGGAAGGAAGGAAAGACAGCACCCATGCACGCACGTATATATGCCATTCCTTCATCATGGCCGGATGATAGATGGATGGATCGATCAATAGACGGACGGACGAATGGATGGGTGGTCTTACTTACCCTGGAGCTCACGATGCGGCTCGTCCCCTTGGCCCAAGCAGTCAGAGTCGCAGTCTGCCTCGCAGATGTAGACGCACCCCGCCACACCGCCCTGCAGCTGCCTGTGGGCCTCTCTCTCCTGCACACCTGCAGCCAGAGGACAAACATACCATCGTGTGTGTGTGTGTGTGTGTGTGTACCTCTCATGGCGGGATTTGCTGCTGATGCGATGGCGAGGGCGACGAAGGCCATGAGGGCGACCACCGAAGTGCGAGGGGCCATTGTAGCTGCACGAGGCGCTGACCAAGTGGAGTGCTGAGGGAGTCAGACGGCGCGAAGGGAAGGTGCGAGGAGTGAACACAATTAAGCTGAGGAAGGAAGGAAGGCAGGCTGCTTGAGTGAGGTCGGTGTGCGATGAATTGTTTCCGCCTTTGAGCCCCTGCTGGTGCCGTAGACAGCACGGGAGAGCACTCATGCTGTCTTATCGTGCGTTCTCGCCACAAAAACTCTCCTATCTTCGGATCGGATCACAACGGGCGAGCTTATGTGGGGAGGAAAGAGAAAAGAGGACAAGGAAGGCTGCCAGGCCCTCCAGGCATATCCCGCCAGATGAGCAGCAGACACACGTGGTGCACATGACGCTCACGGCTGCCTGACGATATGACGGCGCCGGGCGTCCATTGCGTCAAGAGGGCGCTTCGCCAGATCACAACGTACAGGTGGGTAGATCTGCTGCACAGTGCGTACTGCACACATCAATCACATGACGGCACAAACAAATGTGTGTGTGTGTGTGTGTGTACAAATCAGGCCAGCAGGGGCTGCTCAGCAAACGCAACCATCTGGGAGTGCGGCCCGTCTACCGCACCTTATAGTGCGGAGCTATCGGCACTTCGCCGGCCGGCCGCTGCTGAGCGATGACGAGAATGGCATGTCAGATGAGCAGCTGGTATGTACCTGCACCCACACAAGGGGGACCTGCCAGCGGCTTTGGTGCGTGTTCAGACGAGGGCTTTGTACGAGAGTCCCGTTGTGGTGGCGGCGCACGACTTCACGGGGGGTTCGGCGGCGCCTGTGTTCACCTATGCCAACCAGAAGGGCCTCGACGTCTTCGAAACCAACTGGCACGTGAGCTGAAACGGGGCTGGGGATGGAAGGCTGCCTGAAATGGGCAGCTGCCTCATTGCAGCACTTTGTCGGCTGCCCGTCATTCAAGTCTGCCGATGACACCCGCTTTCACGAGAGGCTGGCGCTGCTGCAAGAGTGCCTTGAGAAGGCAAGAGAGAGAGGAATGCCTTCATTCAGATACACGGTGTGCGTATGGCTTGTGTGTGTGCAGGGGTGTGTGCGTGTGAATGCCATCCGGCAGAGCTTCACGGGGCGCCTTTTCCAGATACAGGACGGCCTCTTGTTCAACCTGCTCGACACACCAGGTGGCGCGACTGCCACAACCGTGGGGCAGGTCCGTGTTGACGGATGGATGGATGGATCCAGGCACAGGCCATCCCTTTCGATCTATGCTTTTTTGCTTTTCAGGCGGTGGCGTTTGCCACGTGGCAATACTTGGACTCCATCAGTGAGGAGCGGTCCCTCTAGTCAGTCAAGAAAAGGGAATGACTGCCATGCATGTGCGGCTCAGTGATGAGCTGACGGCTTTTTTCGGTTTCGTCCCTGAAGTGTGATGTTTAGGCGTGGTGTGTCGTCTCTTGGTTTCGGCTCGTTAGTGCTGTGTGCCGTCCCTTCTTGTTCCCCTGGTCGCCACGGTTACATTGCAGTGCGGTGACGTCGCTGCATTGGGTGCGTGGCCACCAGAAGGAACGAGAAGGGACGGGACAGCAGCACAGACATCAGTATACTCACGATCGAGGCAGGGGAAGACAGGGAGGAAAGTTCGAGAAAGACACGGCCAGCATCCATGCCATGCATCTCTGCATTTCGGTTGTTGCATTTCGCTCTCTCACCGACGGATAAGTCACATTATCTGTCGTGGAGAGAGATGGGGAGGCGTGCCGAGTGAGAATGTCTATCTATAGTCGCGACTCGGATGGATTCAATTCAACTCGGATGGATGCAGTGGATGGATGGTATGCATTCACTTGTGTGTCTTGTGTCTTGGGAGCCAAAGTCATTGATGCGCATCATAGCTCTACACACACATACAGCTCTACAACTCTCAGTCGCCTGGAGAAAAAGCGAATAAGCAAATGACCCTCCCTCCCCCGCACCCAGCCAGACACACACAGACACACGCAATGCAGTCAATGGATGCCTGCAGCAGGAAGGAAATGTACTCATCATCACTATGTATGTCACTCACACAAGAGCGATAGACAGGCAGATGTAGAGGGGTGGCTGCCGCACGGGAGGTACAAACGCCCAGACAGACAGACGTACCCATTCACACACACACACACACAGACACACACTCACAGTTACACACACAGAGGCACAAATACAGACAGACAATGGAGAGCGAGCAAGCACCCACCTAGCTACCGATAAAAAACCTGCCTGTCGCCATCCATCCATATGTAATATAGGGAATGCCATGAGGTGCCATTGCCACGACATGAGAGACAGACCCGCCCGGCCCATCCACCCCAGCAAGCTATGCAGCCGTGCAATGAACGGGGGCGCCCTTGATCATCAAGCAAACGGCCCCCACCTTCACTTGTGCGTCGCCACCCCACCCAAGCAATACCAATCATTAAGCAGAGAATCATCTCTCCAAAAGTTCCATCTATCCATCTGTGGTGATGTGCTGCGTGCGTGTCGGCAGACACATTACATATATACCAAAAACAAAAAATACTTCACGGGTACGCGAGCGGACGGGTGCACGCTAGATAGATGTATTTGTGCCTGTGTCTGTGTCTGTGTCTCTGTGCCCGCGGTCGGTCATTGTATGTGTGTGTCCATCCCTTCCCTCCCTCCCTCCCTCCCTCCCCTGTCTGTCTGTCTACCTATACATGAGCTTTACAGGAAATATTCCTGTGTGTGGGTGAGAGGGTGTTGTGGGTGTTGTGGGTGGGTGGAAAGGTGCCGAGGCGACGAGCGGGTTCACGTGAGGCCACTCACTCACCGGTCGGTCGGTCACTTGAATATGAGCTGTTTGTGTGCCCATCCGTAGGCCGCCTTGTGCTCCTCAAACATCGACTGCAGCTCACCCAACACCTGCAGGCACCCATATATCCCAGGCATCACACCCCACACACATGCACATGCACACATACACACGCTTCGTTCCCCTCTCTGTGTGTGTGCAGAGCTGAGTGGCTGAGTTGAGTGGCTGACAGACAGACCTACCTGCTCATGCACGGTGTCTATGTGGTGTTGTGTGGGCGTCTCTGTCGCATTGCCGGGGTGTACCGGCGGCGCACAGATGATGACCAGTGGCTGGCGAAAGGGGATCGGCAGCAGAAACCTACAGTAAACCAATCAGTCGGACAGACAGGTGTGGGCTGGGTAGCATGCGGCGTGTGTGTGTCCGTCGGTACCATACCTGCCCCATAGGAAGAACACCGACACACGGATAGCGCGCGAAAGACGCTCCAGGTAGCCGTAGCGGTCATACCTGATGCGCGCAGACACAGACACACAGAGTGAGCCTCCCTCATGGCCGCATACTGACTGCCAGCCCATCCGTCTCTCTCTGTGCTGGGCTGGGCAGATCCATGTACACACGCACACGCACGCGCACATACGTACCAGACTCTGAAGCACTTGGTGTTGCCGAAGGCCATGACGGGGCAGACGGGGACGCCCAGCTGTATGGCGAGCTTGGCAAGGCCCTTCCTGTCCTTGATGAACAACACCTCCTCCTCTGTTCGCAAACAGGCAGGCAGGCAGGAGACCAGACATAGAAAGATTGACGGGTGAGCAATGTGTGTGTGTGTGTGTGTGTGTCTTCAACTTACTGCTCCAGCAGTTGAAGATGCCGGCGATGCCGTCGGCCATGACGCCGACACTCGCCCGTCGGGTTTTGATGTGGTGCACTAGGGAGGCCCGGGAGACGTCCGCCATGCCCAGGAGCTTCATCATGTTCAGGATGGGGAAGTGCAAAACCACACTCGCCGCGGCACCGATGAAATCGCCTCTCACCGTCTGACCGACCGACCGATCCATTCATTGCCACACAGGGAGGAGGGAGGGATGTGCAGTGGTCCTTGTTTGTTTGTTTGTTTGTTTGTGAGGGGCCTACAAGGTTGATAAGCGGGATGGAGAGCAGCCCAGCGACCGGGAAGGCGCCATGGGGCACCATGAACCCGATATATGGCGAGAGCTCCGCCTTGTCGCGGCTCTCCTCCGTCCACACCACTTTGAAGCTAAAATACCTGTGCACACACACACGTACGTGTGCTCATATCCCGCCCTCTGCACCCCTTTTTGACACACACACGCACCTGAAGAGTGATATGAGCACAGGCGACGGGACGGGCGAGCCGTTCTTCTTCATGGGAAAACCAGCCAGAGTGATGAAGGTGACCACCCATGCCACGAGCGGCCGCCACTGGCCGTAGATAATCCACAGTGGGAGGGCGAGCAGAGGCCATCCAGCTAGGACGAACCAGCAGCAGAAGAAGAGAATGACGACGGCGGCCTCCTCCCAGACGGGCATTGGCGTGACAGACGTCAGGTTGGGGCTGGGGCAGCTGTCCATGGGCACCGATGCCGCGTCAATTATCTTCCTTCTCTCCTCCCCCGACGCAAGGGCCAGCCGACGCAAATCTACCTTGCTGCACGACACAGACACAGACACACCCAGACAGACAGACGCGTGCACAGCACAATGAGTGGGTCATGTAGGTAGTAGTTGTAGCTGGCCACGGCCCTCACCCACTGACTCACCTGGCGTCTGTGAAGAAGTATTTCCGTTTGTGTGTCTTGCATTGGTCTCCCTCGGCCTGCTGCTCCACAGGCAGACTCTGAGTGGGCAATGAGCAGTCAGTCGAACACTCATCCTCCGTCTGGGGCGGCATTGTGTGCACAAATCTGTGGCAGCGGTGCCTCAGAACCCCTGCTGTCCTTGTGGCTAAGCCCGCAGGGAGGAGGAAGGGCATTGCGTGAAACTGGTTGTCGGGGGGGAAAGGCAAGCCTTTCCCGGGAAAGGAGGCGACAATTCCGCATTGCGGTGGCTGACGCGTAGCTGATTCTCGTGTAGGGATGGGAATCAAAGGTCTTTGGGATCTGGTGGCCCCGTCGGGCCGTCGTGTCAACCTGGAGGCGCTGTCCGGCTCCACTTTGGCCATCGATGCGTCCATCTGGCTGGTGCAGTTCCTCAAGGCCATGCGCGACAGCGACGGCAACATGGTCCGCAGCGCCCACCTGGTCGGCTTCTTCCGGCGCATATGCAAGCTGCTCTTCTACCAGATCAAGCCCGTCTTTGTGTTCGACGGCCCGCCGCCGGAGCTCAAGCGCCGCACACTGGCGCAGCGTCGCCGGCTGCGCGAGCAGCAGGAGGCCAACCTGAAGAAGACGGCGGAGAAGCTGCTGCTCAACAAGATGAAGTCCTACGCCCTCGACCAGATCGAGGCCAAGAGGAAGGCCAAGAGGGCCAATAAGGGCAAGGGCAAGGACAAGGGCAGCAGGGCGCGGGCGGCCTCACAGAACCAGCAGGAAGAAGAAGATGAGAACCACAGACATGATGATGGCGAGAATCGCGAGAACGACAAAGACGATGGTGCCGAAGGCAGGCAGCAGCGAGCCGCCAGCCCACCAGCAGCAGCGGCCGCTGCCGCGGCGGCGGCAGCAGCAGCACCAGCAGCTGCAGGGGGGCCATCCTCACCGATTGATCTGCTAGATAGCGACGAGGGGGAGCGCCAGAAGAGAGCTGCCGCCGAGGAGCTGTTTGGTGATGACGACAGCGACGTGCAGATGTGGGAGAAGGAAGATGGTGGTGAAGAGGATGGCGAGCAGGAGGGAGATGACGCCGACCCCATGGGCTACCGGGCGAGGCGACGCGCATACTACAACTCCATCCCCAACGAGTTCAGGTGCGTGCGGACCACACACACACACTTTTAGACAGTGTGTCCATACCCATCGTCCTGTCTGTCTGTCTGTCTGGCTGGCTGGCTGGCTGGCTGCGTGTGTGTGTGTGTGTGTGTGTGTGTGTGACATAGGGGGTTTCTGGCGGAGCGTCGTCGTCTGGATGACCTGCAGGTGGGCGAGTCGGCCATGACCAGCATCCTCTCCATGCCCGGATCAGCCACCGTCAAGAAGCGACAAGATGCGCTCTTCGGCGGGCCCAGCAACAACCCCGCACGCAGGGGCGGCGGGGAGTCGCCATCTGCTAGTGCTAGTGCGCCGGCTACTGCTGCTGCTGCCGCTGCGGCCGGCGGCTCATTTGACGACGATACACATGTTTTCAGGGACGCAGAGGACTTCAAAAGTGAGCACGCGGAGAGGAGAGGATGGACATGGCTGCTTGTATGGCCGATGTGACGTTCGGGTGTGGTGTGTGTAGGTTATCATGTGTCTGGCGAGAACGGAGAGGACGTGGCCATCACTCTGCCGCTCGATGCCGAGATCGACCCAGAAGTGTTCGAAACGCTGCCGGCAAAAGTGCAGTACCAGGTCAGCCAGACCGACACACACGCACACCCCTGTCTGTACGTCCATCTCCCTCGAGGTCTCTGTGTGTGCGTCATCCATCCATTCACTCGTCAGATCCTGAATCAGTTGCGTGACGCTTGGATGAACGAGAGCCGTCTCAAGGCGGTGCAGGCCAAGGACGACCTGCAGGTGTTCAGCAACGTGCAGCTCGAGAGCTACATGCGATCCATCCGCACCAACAAGGAGATCGACACGGTCAAGGTCGCCATGGCCGAGGACGTCCGCAAAGACGAAAAGGAGATGGGCGGCGACGCCACCTCACAGGCAAGCAGCCACACCACACACACGGCGACACACGTGGCTATACACGTGTGTGTGGGGGTGTTGGGGGGCACAGGTGTACATCAATGGTCCGGTGGAGGTGGACAAGGGCGGCCCGTCCAAGGGGCCGAATTGGAACCCGACGGCCGGGGGGTGGAAGAGCCGAAATGCATACTGGGCGCAGCAGCAGAAGAAACCGACGCCCGGTAGGTAACACCCAGCCACCCATCAGACACAACACACAACACACAAAAGAAGTGTGTCTATCCCGTCCCGCGTCCGTTCATCCAGATCTGTTTGGTCTGGGCGAGTCGGCTGCTGACGACGGGTTTGACGAGTACAAGGACGGAAGAGACAGCAAGGAGGGCGATGCCCACCACCCCAAGAAGAAGCGCCGCAAGCACCGCTACAACCCCGAGCACTTCTCCCACCTCCCCTCTCTCAAGAACACCGACCTCACACGCAAGGACCTCTTCACCGTCAATGAAGACGACTTCGACGGACCGCAGCTGTCAGACCGCAGGAAGAAGCGGCCAAAGTCTGAGAGAGACCAGGCGCGTCTCCCCGGCCCCTCCCTGCCGTCCTTCTCTCCCGGCAAGACCTCGCGCGTGCCCGAGGCGGCCGATGAAGACATTCTGGAGTGTGAGGCCGGTGATGCTCATGAGGCGCCAAATGGTGGTTTAGTGGTGGAGGAAGATGATGCGTCAGAGGGCCTGCCGGATGGCTTGGGTGGCATGGATGTGGAAGACGATGTGCTGGACCTCCTGGGCGATAAGTTCTTCGACCATGCTGAGGCGGACGAGCCACCAGAGCCCCCTCATGACGATGAGGCCGAGGCACCCGCAGCCCCACCAGCCGCTGACGCCGTTGAGCCGGCCAGTCCCTCGTCTAGCGAGGAGGAGGGCCGCCGCCCACAGCCGCCCGACACTGTCGACCTGACAGAGGACGCGCACGAGCCGCCACCCCCTCCCCCGCCTCCACCACCTCTCCCCATCCCTCCGCTGGTCGTCGACCTCGACGAAGAAGATGACTTGCCACCGCAGCATGAGGTTCCTGCTGGTGTGGCTGCCGCTTCTAGGCCGGAAGCAGCCGATCGACGCGACCACTCACCCCTCCGTCTGCTGTCGGCATTTACACTCAAGCGGAAGCGGCCACCAACGCATGAGGACCGGGAGAGCGGCGACTACGCCAACGAGCCGCAGCCAGTGGAGGTGCGCGGGGCGGACGGCGGTGTGTCGACGTCGCTGGGCGAGAGGGGTGGAGATGAAGACGAGGAGGACTTGGTCGAGTGGGAAGATGCAGAGGAAGAAGACCAACAGCAGGCCGAGCCGCCACTCGCCGAGCCCGCACCAGTACGTCAGCTGGCGGACGTGGCCGTGCCGGTGGTGGCTGTGGACAGGGAGCCGCCGGCGCAGCCACAAGCCGAGAACGCCGTGGCCATGGATGTGGAGGACCTGACGCTCGACGAGGATGATGCACGCTCAGCCCCACCACCACCACCAGCAGCAGCCAACGCTCCCCCGCCAGAGGCCCCGCGACAGCAACGAGAGGAGGAGCCCGTGATCATCCAACCTCCCCCTATCCCTCCCGCACCTGCCGCAGGGGCCCCCCAAGCCGCAGAGAAGCAGCAGCAGGACACCGAGCAAGAGCAACAGCCCCCTCCCTCCCGCGAGGCTTCACCGGCCGAGCACTCTTCGCCGGCGGCCAGCGAGGAGGCCCCACCAGCCGCAGCGGCTGCAGCAGCTGCGGCAGCGGGTGGTGATGCAGAGGACAGCAAGGGCCAGGCGGATGACCCGTTTGCTGACATCGACGATTCGATCTTCGACGATTTGGATTTCGTGATGCCATCGCCGAGGAATGCAGGGGCAGCTGCAGGGGCCACGGGGGGTGGGCAGAGAGGGGGGCAGCGGGGCCGGGCGGCGCAAGTCAATTTGGAGGAGCTGCGCGAACGACTGGTGAGTCAGTCAGTGATGGAGCAGAGGTGGATGGTTGATTGACTTACGTGTCTTTGTGTGTGTGTCTGTCTCGTGTAGGAGGAGGAGCAGGTGGAGTTGATGGGCGACTTGCAGAAGCAGAAGGCGCAGTCTGAGCACGTCACGCCAGAGATGCAGGAGCAGGTCAGTCAGTCAATACAGTACTTGGGTGGGTCGGCACGTCAATCAACCAGAAAAGGCAAACAAACGGACCACCAACCCAATGACCATTTTCAGGTTCGTGATTTGTTGCGTGCTTTTGGGATCCCGTGGGTGGATGCCCCCGCCGAGGCCGAGGCACAGGCGGCCGTCCTCAACGAGCTCGACCTGGTCGACGCAGTGGTCTCCGATGACTCAGACGCTCTCGCGTTCGGAGCCAAGAAGGTATGGGCACACACACATGCATGCCTGCCTGCTCATCCCCGTGTGCGTGTCGTTTCTTCCACCCGTCCGTCAGGTGTACCGCAATTTCTTCGACAGCCGCAAGACGGTGGAGATGTACGAGACCGGGCTGATGCAACGGCGGCTGGGCTGCGGCAAGGAGGAGCTCATCCTACTGGCCATCCTTCTGGGGTGCGACTACACACTCGGCGTGCGGGGCATCGGTATTGTCAACGCGCTCGAGGCCATCAAGGCCTTCAAGTCGTTTGAGGGGCTCAGGAAGCTCCACGGATGGGCCGCTGACATCGCCAGGCTCACGTAAGTTGAGGGAGGGAGAGAGGATGGAGGACGGAAGGGAGGGAGAGCCGTTCACTCACCGTCTTCTGTTCTCCTCTTTCTTTGTGTGTGGTGTGTCAGTTCTACCGGTGTGGACCCCGATGACGACGAACCGATGCGCTACTACAAAATCAACCACAAGAAGTACAGAAACCACTGGTGAGTGAGTGAGCAACGGACGCATCTGCCCCTCCATCCATCCATCCATTTGCCTCTCTCTCTCTCTCTCTCCCTCTCTCTCAGGAGCTTCCCTGCTGACTTTCCGAGCGAGGCCGTGTGGGATGCCTTCGAGACGCCCCAGGTGGACCGCAGCGCCGAGCCCTTCAGCTGGTCCCCACCCCACGTCGACTCGATCATCCAGCTCCTCACCACACACGCCGGCATGGGCGCCGACGACATCCAGCAGCAGCTCGACCCGGTGATGTACTCGCTCAACCAGCCGAGGGTGCAGACGACCCTGCAGCGGTACGGCTTCACGGTGCAGGTGGGCGACAGCTCGGCCTACCTCCGCCACGCCAATGTGGGCGGTGGGGACGACACCGTGGCCGTCATCCGGTCCAAGCGGATGGGCAAGGCCGTGCAGACGCTGCGGGACCAGCAGAGGATCAAGAAGAACAAACGGGACAGGCAGAAGAAAAAGAAGGAAGGTGGCACCATCCAAGAGGCCTTTAACAAGGTAGGTAGGTACATACCTACCGACAGACACCTAGCAGAAGAAAAGATCTAAGTGTTCGTCTATCGGTTCATTGCCACCTGTATCGCATCCATGGTGGGCTGCCTGACTGATGCGTTCTTTCAGGCGTCATCTTCGAGTGCTGCTGCTGCTGCCGCGGCTGCTACGCCAGCACAGGACGAGGAAGGGGCGACCAGTGCTGCAGCAGCAGCAGCAGCTGCTGCAAGTGGTGGTGGTAGTGGTGCCGACGACGCAAAGAGGGAGGCCGATGCGGTGGAGTTGCAGCGTGAGCTAGAGATGCTGGGGATATCTCCCGAGGAGCAGATGGAGATCATACGGACACAGCAGGGGCTCTCGTGACACAGACAGACAGACGGACAGCCATACATCGAGACCAGATGCATTCCGTCATTGTGGTGTACGTGTACATCCGTCGTATGACTGACTGACTGACTGACAGGCGACCATTGACTGACCGCGTGGGCGGACTGCTTCACTCATTCATCCCTCCATGAGTCATCCATCGTCACGAGTCTCAGTTGCTCTTCGAGCGCTACTCACGTCCGTCATGCACAACGCACTGCCAGCCAGACATACGCATATATATGCATGCACCCAAACACATGACTTCAACACAGCTGATGGATGACTCATGAAGCAGAAGCCAAGCACCAAACAACCTCATCTCGCTCGCTGTCTTCACTCGTCGTCGTCGTCCTCGCCCAGCGGCCGTGTGCTCCACTGCGTCCTCACAAGGGGCGGTTTCTGCTTCTTCATCGACTCATGGAAGCACTTCTCATAGTCGGCCCTCTGCTGCTGACACCGCTGCATTGCCTCCAGACCAGTGGACGTCTGCCCCGGCTGCGTGTGCTCCTCGAGGCACGCGAAGAACGCCTTGGACACCTCTTCGCACCCCTTGCGCACGATGGGGAAGAACGGCGGCATGTGAGTCGGGGCGGCAGGCTGAGCGGCCTCCGATGGCTTGGAGGCGGCGGGCGGAGAGGCACTCGTGGACTCACTCATCACTCAATCCAAGTTGACTCACTACACATCACATGAGCACTGAGGCAGATCTATCAACAGAGCAGCACATCAAGGCTATCAGAACGACGGAAGAAGTCAGCCGACGCTGTACCCTCCCCTAGGGTTCCATACCCGGACCCTTTTGCGAGCTTAGAAGGGTTTCGAGGGACGCAGGAGCCATGGATGACTTAGGGCTGATTTGTTGGCTGCCCATCTTGCTGGGCTGGGTGATTCATCGGACCTTCTGCTTGCCTTCAGCCACCCACAGAGGCAAGAGCAGCTCTCCACCCGCGTGGATCTACCTGCCGCAGGGACTCATGCCGACGAGAACTCTGCACATACGACCTCACATAAGCAACGCACGCACAGCGAGATCGTTAAGCAGTCCCATGAGTACCACCGACGTGCAGCAGCCGACCGAGCGGAGTGAGGAGAAGAGAAAGTTACCGAGCGTCGAGGACCTGAAGCGCCTGCCGCTGCCCACGCTTCAGCGCATGTGCAATCGGCTGAAGATCCGACCAGTCGGTGAGTGACAGACACATGCTTGATTGCAGGGCACGCCCACTCAGTGACCCGATTACATTCTTGTCCCTTTGTTCTCCATGCAGGTTCCCGCGATGAGTTGATCGCACGGCTAGTCAAGTATGGCCTTGCTCGCAAGCAGACACCAGACACCGACCGGCAGCCACCAGACAGGGCAGAGGGTGACCCTGCCAGCTCAGCGCCGGCAGCCGAGTCGTCTCCAAGGCGGCAGATCTCCAATGCAGCCCAGATTCTGGCTCTGCATCGACTCAAGAGGAGGAGAATTGGCGTCGAGCCGGGGGAGCAACAACGAGAAGAAGCACCCACAACCACCACAGACGAGTCGGCGGCCATCGGTGAGGGCGGATCGATTGCTGAGGAGGCAGAAAAGAGTGAAGGAGACGAGCAGGACCTGCCGACGGACACGGACATTGAAAAGTCGGTCTTCAATCTTCCCAAGAGTGAGTACTCGAGGCGGAAATGAGAAGTGCCTGTCCTGCCCCGAATGTCCTGCCCCGAATGTCTATCGATGGGTGACTGGGTGTGTGTCTTGTGTTCCATGCCATGCAGGGGCGGAGACGTTCAGCTCGGTGGATGAGTTCTTCAAGACCAACGAAATGATGGACAATGTACGTCACGTCACGTCACGTCAGGGAGGGCGGTGCAGTGAGTGGAGTGGAGTGGGTCGGTTTCCTGTCGATCTCATTCATGTCTGTGCGCGATTCTCTCAGGAGATGTCGGGGATTGACGAATGGATGGACTCTGTCGAGCAATACGACCCCGAAACCAGCAACTTCAGGTGACCAAGAGACGGACAAACAGATGGCAAGGACCACAAGCGAACCATTCATGCATGGGTGTGTTGTCTGTCTGCTGGCTGTCAGGTCTGGCTACGTGAGCATCATCGGGACGCCGAATGTGGGCAAGTCGACCTTGATGAACGCCTATCTGCAGGAGAAGCTGTCGATCGTGAGCCCCAAGCCGCAGACCACCCGCCACCGCATCATGGGCATGCTCACCTCAGAGGAACACGAGGGACAAATCATCTACTCAGACACGCCGGGTGGGTGGGTGACCCGGGCAGGGCAATCAATGCACATGAGGGCAGGGCGGTCTGCATATGAGCGGCGCACATGTGATGTGCCTGTCCTGTGTGCATGTTTGTCGTCAGGCTTACTGAAGCCGATCTATCGGATGCACGAGGGGATGATGGGGTTCGCCCGCTCGGCCGTCAAGGACGCTGATGTCGTGCTGCTCGTGACGGACATCTTCCAGTCGCCAGACACATTCCCATCAGAGGTAGGAAGGAAGCCGACACAACGATAAGCAAAGAAGTATACCCCTCTCCCTCGTCCCATGTTCGGTTATCTATCTGCGTGTGTGTGGCTTCTTCAGGACATCTTTCAGCGGTTGCAGCACACACACAAGCCCATAGTGGTGGCCATCAACAAGATCGACCTCCTGCCCAACACAACCACACACGCGTCTGCACCTCCCCCACCATCACCACCACAAGACGCCTCTCTGCTGCCTGCCCCATCCACCAGCGCGCCTGCATCCCCATCTGAGACGCTGGAGCTTCAGCGATACAAGCTGGAGCGGCAGCAACAGCACCCGATGGACCCATGGCCGGCCGGCACGAGAGAGGCGGCCAAGAGCGTCCCGCCACTCGAACATCAAATCGGTAGGGGGACAGACACAGGCAGATAGCTGGATGCCTTGGTAACGATTTCCTCTTCTGGAGGTGTGTTTCTATCTATTCGTTCAGCTGCCTGGCGGTCTGTGCTGCCCAACGCAACGATCTTTGGCGTGTCGGCGCTTGAAAGGAAAGGGCTGGAGCCCCTTCTGAAGGTAGGTGAGCGCTCTTACCGTTCCACGCGCAAGCATCACGATTCCCCGTTGTCTCATCTACCCATGCAGGCGATGATTGGCACCTTGCCAAAGGGTCCTCCCCTGTACCCGCCCAACCAAGTGAGCGACCGCAGCGAGCGGTTCTTCGCTGCCGAGGTGATTCGCGAGAAGATCCTGCTGCAGTACCGCAAGGAGGTGCCCTACAGCTGCGAGGTGGTCGTCAGGTCATTCAAGGAGACCGACCAGCAGATCAACGTCGAGGCCGACATATGTGTCATGGTACCATGACAAGAGATGGGGATTAGCGATGTCAGGAGAGTCAGTGTGCCTCTGTTGGGTGCATGCGTGTGTTCAGCGTGCCTCCCAGAAGCCGATCATTCTGGGGCACAAGGGCAGTGCCATCAAAGAGGTGCGTGAAGGACACTCTACAGCACCGGACACGTCTGATCTCCATATTATCGTGTCTCCATGCGTGCAGTTGGGCATTGCGGCTCGCAAGGATCTGTCCGAGATGTTTGGCAAGCGAGTCTTTCTGCGCCTGACGGTCAAGGAGGCCAAGAACTGGCGGGAAGACGAGGCGCGGCTAAGGGAGTATGGTTACTTCAGCGATTACGTGCCCACTGCCCTGTGACGCTAGGCGTGTCAGTCAGTATATTTGTCTCGCTGTGCGTACGTCACTCTATCTCTCTTGTGGTATGCCTGCCATATATATTGACTGACTGCATCTTCCTTCATCCGCCCGTCCGTCACGATCCCCCGCCCTGTCCAGTCCACATGCAAGATCCCACACACACGACACACGAATACGTATCACTTCGAACACGATCAGTCACAGACCGTGCCGGCCACCGACGTACGGCCATCAGCACGGATGCAGGCAGGCAGCTGTGAGAATGAATGAATGCACCAAGAAAATCGGTCGGCGAGCGGGCGACATTCGCCCTCTGCAAGTGGCTTGCACGATGCAACCACCCGCTCCGCACACACAGGCAGACAATCAGGCAGATCGAGACAGACAGACAGACAGACGGACGGACAGCCAGAGAGATGGACACAGAGGTAGACAGACAGGCAAGTGGGCAAAAGAGGGAGAGGAGCACGATTTCCTCTCGCGGCCACTGATCCATCTTCCAATCACCGAACCATGCACTCACACACACAGACACACACGATGGCTGTACTATGGTCATTGCATGTCTGTGATCGTCGTGGATCATCCCGTCAAAACTATCAAAATCGCATGCACGGACGCAGGCGGGCGGACGACAGGAGCCCGTCTCCTGCTCTCATATCTCCCCCATCCATGCTCACGTATGTCTGTATGCACTCACTGCCCCGGGAAAAATGCAACCATCCCTTTCAGCACCACACACGCACACGCACAGCGATCGATATCATTTATGGCCGCAAAACAGATGAACATACCTTCTCCCTCCCTTCTCCCTGCTTCCCAGCAGCCAGCACAAGGGCCGCAGATGTATGTATGTGTGTGTATGCACTGTTGCGTGTGTGGATCGACTTCACTCTCAGAGGGAGAGAGACGAGCACGGGTGTGCCGTGCCGTGCCGTGCCGCACAGACGCGCCTTCCCAGGCCGGGCAAAAATTACAGCTACTGCATACGTTCCCATACCATCCCACCCCACACCATACGAATCGTCACCAGCCCCCGCCTCTCTCCCCAACAACAGTCTCTACAGCACAGAACAGCAAGTACACAAGACGACAGACAGACAGGATATCCCATATCACCACTGCAACAGCCAAGTGCCCTCTCCCCAACTGCGAGCCCCAAAAGAAAAATCGGACCTTCTCGGCACTACGAGTCACACGATGCCTCTGCTGACGACCCCTTCTTGTCTCTCATGGCTTTTCGGGCTGCATCGTATCTCATGATGGACATCAGGTACACCAGTCCGAGTGCCTCATCAGCCGACCCAATCTCCACAGTGTACCTGGGTCGCTTCGACTCACCGCCATCCACAGTAGCAGCAGCGGCGGTCTGTGCACTCGCAGCTGCGCTCGTCGCAGTCGACCGACTCCGCTTCGAGAGGCGTTCGAGAGGCCGGCTGTCGTCTGAGCTATCTGCCGTGGCTCCTTCCTCAGATGACCCCCTATCGCCCATCTTGCTGCCTCCCCCACTGGCCAGAGTGACGCTCCGGTCGTCACCGCTCTCCTCCACAGCTATCACCTTCCCCCCCCTCTCTCCCGGCCGCCCATCGCCCTTCCCTAAGACGTCCTTGTGCAATGCGGGAAAGACCGGCGACTGTGGCCGGTGCACGCCGTCCAAATGTGGGGGATAGGCGTTGCGGCCAGACGTGTCGATCCGCGGGTGATGACCGTACGTAGCTATCTGTTGTCGCTGGCTGGGGGGATAGTACACCATGTGGCCGTGGGGGAAGGGGTGGGGGTATGGCGGGCGAGACATCATCACGTGGACGCATGGCGGGCTCGTGGCAGGAGGGCGATACGTGACCGGGTCGAGTGACGTGGCAGAAGTGCTTGGTCCTCGCGCCACTTCATCCCGGTGTGCCGGCGATGTGGCCGTCGGCGCCAGCATGCTGAACGATCGGTCGGTGAGAGGCGTCGACCCGAGGATGGAGCGCCGCGCCCGACGCATCAACGAGTTGAAGCGGTTCTTGACCTGATGCTCGGTGCGGCCTGCAGATACCAATGGTCAGTAAGTCGCGCTGATGTGAGGGTGTGTGCCACCTAGCGACCCACCTGTAAGCAGTTTGGCGATCTCGCTCCACCTGTTGCCTAACTGTGCCTGCTTCTCGAGTATCAAATCGTCCTCATCCGCACTCCAACCACCCCTGACGGCATAAACAGACATACCCTCCTGCAGTGCCTCATTTGCAAATGTGGAATGACCATTACTTTCTCTTTGTTGGGTCGAGGTGGTTCGACCACCGCTCGCGACACTGACGGGCTGCAATCAATAAGCCAATTAACAGACAGGGGATAGATACCGTCTGCGCCTGTTTCAATGAATGTCGCTCCTGTCCTCACCTGTGCGCACTTCCCTGTCGCCGTGGACCTTCTGATTCAGCAGGCGGCACACAGACGACCACCTGGATGAAGCAACAGTCCACACGAAAGGAGGATGACAACCATTTTTGTTGTCCACTCCACTGTGTGTTCTGTCTCACCTGGAGGGTCCGTATGCAGTGACGAGCCGAAACAGTTCCTCATCCTCTTCATCTGTCCACACGCTCGATGGCGGCCCACCACTCTGAAAGTCAAACGGAAATGGATAGCTGCGTCGAGTGCTGCGTCTTCTGGCGCTTACCGAGTTGCCCGTTCTCAGCCAGTCATCGGTCTGTGTCTGTGTGATGTCCAGCTCCCTCTCATGGACCACACGCGCGTCGTCATCTGCAAGACGCTCGACAGGAAGCGCCACTCCGCGGTAGAGGGCAGTGCGGGCGTTGGCCTTGGGATGTTTCTCAGGTTGTGTTTCTCGTGACGATGCAGAGGCGTCCCTCTTGCTTGAGGCGCGCTGCGGCAGCGGAGCGATGCAGGATGCTCCTAGCTGGCTTTCCATCGCCATGATCTTGGAATAATCCAGTGCAAACAGGCAGAGGCGTCGCGTGGAAGACAGGCATGCCGGAGGTCGGCGCCGATTGAAAAGCTCGCCATTTTAAGCTCGCATTTCTCCCCGTTTCTTTTTTCTGTTGATTTCCCAGCCAGAGCATCCGTCAGATGGCGTCCGCGGCTCACGACTTGTACGGCCCTCCGCGCCGCGGCCGTGCGGAAGGGTGGGATTCGAATGAGGATGACAGCTTCTGGGAACGGAACATCAACACGCCAGAGGGCGACGACTCATCGCCATACGACATCGACCTCCATTTTGCACTGAGCGTCATCGAAGAAGACGTGAGTGACGCCGGCGGTGACACAGCCAGAAACACACGCCGTCTCTTCATCGGATGATGTTCATCCCGTCCCCGTGTGTTCCTTAAGGTGCTTGAGACAATTCGAAAGGAGTTTGTGGCGATGGATAAGGAGATGTCTGGCGCAATCGACGTCAAGGACCTTCCCAAGCTGCTCGATGGTCAGTCAGCTGCTCTCCCTGTCAGACGCCCGTCCCCGTGCGATGCGATGTGGTGCCTGTGTGCAGTGTTGGGTGTGGGCCACCATGGTGCGGATGAGACAGGGGCCATGCACGCGGAAGATGTGTACCACTTCCTCTCATACATCGAACAGGACGACGAGGGACGCATCAGTGAGCCCTGACTGTCCGGACACACGGGGGGGAGGGAGACACAGGGAAAGGATGACTCTCTCCCTGGCGCGTGTCTGCATACGTGTGTGCGTGCGTGTGGGTGTGGGTGTGGGTGTGCAGCGTACGCTGAGTTTGTGGAGGCCTTCAAGAAGATGCGGGAGAGCCAATTGAAGATGGAGAGCGACCTAGACACACGTAAGTGCCTTAGTGAGACATAGACAGCCAAGTTCATATCCAATGAGTGTGTCTATGTTGCTGTGTTTTCTGTGTGTATGGTCTGGTACGGCAGTCGCTGCGTGGACGGCCCTCGGCGGCCACGAAGACGGCAGTGGGTCGCTAGACACTGGTCCGTGCTTCATGTATTGGATGGATGGAGTGAAAATGGGTGTGTGGAGTGTGCGTGTGTCTGTCTGTCTCTCTGTCTGTGTGTGTGTGTGTGCAGCGTTGCTAGTGAAGATGGTTCGCGACGACTTCCAGCTGCCTGACGAGGTGGTGGGGTTTGTCAAGCGGCTCGACTACAACAACAGAGGACACATCGACTACGATGTGGGTCAGGGGGGTCGGCAAGCGACACATTGTCTGTGTCTGTCTGTCTATGCAGGGGTTCTGCGAGATTTTCCAGCCTTGTGCGTGAGCAATGGAAGGAGTGGGTGAGTATCGATCGGATCGATGTTCCGTATATATGTGTGTTGGGTGCGGTGCCTACGGGAAGCGTGTACGTGTGTGTTTGTGTGTAACAGATTGCATCATTGATTGAAATGGATGGAAAAAGGTCAATCGGCGAGCCACACAGCGTGTCGCTCGCTCACACGTACAAAGAGACAGACAGGTTGGTTATGAGGAAAGGTGGGAGGGAGGGAGGGAGGGAGGGGCGCGCGCAGGACCACAGGCACTTCAGTCACTGTCCACACACCGCACACAGCCACAGCCACATCCACTCACTCACGCACACAGGCACAGCATACACACCTCCCGTCCATCAGTCGATCCATCCGCCGGCTGTGGCTTCCCTGCCTGCCTGCATGGCTGCTCTCCTCCTCGATGCACCGCCGCCCACACACCGACACAACACATTTAAAACAGAGCACCGCGAATTACACACACAGATCTCGTCTTCTCGCCCTCTGTGTGCAATCGTCCCCGCAGTGGTTCGCACCGCATCAGCGTTTCTCGATTGGCAGATGTATGGCTCTCAATCAAGCGCTGCTGATGCTGCTCCTCCACCACCACCACAAGAGCGACAGTCACCGAGGCATCCATGCCATCTCATACACACCACCCACACATACAAGCATCAAACACTACTCCCTGTCTCTCTTTGGCTCGTTCGTCTCGCTGCGCTGCGTAGGTGTGTGTCGTGTCCATCTCAGCTGTCTGCCTATCGAATCGAGGGTCGCCGGCTCGGCTGCTCCTTCGTTGGCGGTCGTCAGGCTGAGGAAACTGGATTGGTCTCCTCACCCAGCCGATCGCTGACGAAGGCAGGCACGTTTCCATCCACACGAAGCAGACGCAGAGAAAGTGGGTGCATCACAAGGCAGGAAAAAGAGAGCAAACACTGTCTGGCTCGCTGGCTGTCCACTCACTCGCAGCTCACACCTGAGCTACACAGATCTCTGTCCCACGTGATGTGATCGATTGGTTCATCCATCCATCGGCTGGCTACCTAGACACACACCTACAAAAACATGACTGACGAACGACAGACAACACTTTCCCCCCTTGTGCACGTAGCGTAGTTGGTTTGGTTTGTGCTCTTAACACGCTGTATCTATGCATGTATGTATGTATGTATGTACACACAACACAACAAACACTCGCCCTCAGTTACGCAATCCTCACTCCTCAGCTCGACGCACATCAAACCAATGGATGGCCATATAAGTAAGTTGGGTGTGTCTGTGTCTGTGTATGTGTGTGTGTGTCTTAAGTCACTGTCCCCCGGGCGCGCCCCCCTGTCCTCCCTGGCCTGGCGGCTGCTGCTGCGGCTGCTCCTCCTCCATGATGTCATTCATGTTCTCAAACAGATAGTTGGCCGCCAACTCCTGCACACACACAGTCATCCAGGATGCACACAGACACACAGGTGAGGGTGTTTTGGTGGATGGATGGATGGATGGGAGCAGCGATGGGTGTGTGTGGTGACCCACCTCGTTCTTGTCGCAGCTGATGTACGCCTCGGCGGCAGCATGGCGCGAGAACCCGAGAGCCTCCAACTGACAGATATAAGACCCATGCACTCACATGGAGGAGTGTCGATCAATGGCTCACCCGCTGCACCGCCTGGTCGTCCTCAGGCGTCAGCTGCACCGTGATCACTTGAGCTGAGCCACACCACACACGAGCACCCAACACAATGACCGACAAGGCAGGCACGCGTCTGGTGTGTGTGTGAGGTGTCTATCTACGTGGCTGCGGTCCGACGGGCTCCTGGAGTATCCGCACAAACTCCTCAGGATGCTGCTGGATCAACGTCATGAGCTCTGGGTTCTGCACCGAGATGGACTGCAGGATCTGATTGAGCGACTCGGGCTGACTCTGGGGGACACAATAATACATACAATACATCAGACAACAAGTGGGGGGACAGCACCCATCCATCCATCCATCCATGCATCCATCCGATCTGTCTCCTCCTCTGTCAAGTGTGACTCATCATCTCACCTGCACGAGTGCCCGCAGCTGGTTGAACTGGGGGTAGTTCCGCAACGCAGCCAACGGACCGCCCTGCCATCCATCCATCCATCCATCCATACCAGCACCTATCCGCACTCAGATCTGGTCGTTGTGTTGTCTCTCACCTGTCCCTCGCCAGGTTGCTGTTGCCCTCCCATGGCCGGCGGCGGCTGCTGTTGCTGCTGCTGCTGCTGCCCCATTGTGGCCGGCGGCGCCTGCTGCCCCCCGGCACCCGTCATGGCTGCAGCGGGCGGCACGGCCGTCCCAGCAGGGGCAGGGGGAGGAGCCTGCGGCTGTGCACCGCCCGGGATCCCCTGCACACCACGCCCATACACACCACACGCACATACAATACACACAGGCCACGGGTGTCTTGTGTTGTGTCGGTTAGTTGCTGGTCGTGTCGTGTCGTTGTGTCTGTCGGTCATGTGAAGTACCTACCGTCATGAGGTACTCGACGGCTCTGTCAGGGTTGTTGAAGGCGGCGCGCATGGCCAGCTGCACCTGCGCCCGGTCGAAACCCATGTCAACGATGTTCTGAATCGCCTGCATAACATGACGGAAGGAAACACAACCACATCACAACACAGCACAGCATGCGAGTCCCCCGGACCTCCCTCCCTCCCTCCCTCGGTCGCACACTCACCGATTCGAGATTTTGTCCAGTGATGAGTGCCGATGCCGCCTGGTCATACGACGTTCCAGCATCACCACCCGCACCCTCAGTCGTGCCCGCAGTCTGCTGCTGCTGCTGCTCGGTCGGCTGCTGCGCCGGCTGCTGGGCGCTGGTCTCAGTCGACGGAGCCTGTGGTGCTGCTGGAGGGGCAGCAGGTGCTGTGGAGGCTGGCGTGGTGCTGTTGGCCGCTGGGGCAGCGGCGGGCGGGGCAGCAGCGCCTGTAGTGCCTGCTGCGGCAGGCTGGGAGGGGGACTGACCGGCAGGAGCAGGCTTCTGCAACACATAGACACACACATATGGACAGGCCGACATGCATGCTGTCCATCGTGTCGTTGTGTCCCGTTGCCTGTTTCTGGCCCTCCCTCCCTCCCTACCCACCTTTTGGCACATGATGACGAGTGTGGTGTTTTCCTCGATTTGGTAGTCGCTGATCTTTTGGTTGTCGGAGAGGATCTTGCCGGAGCAGATGACCTTCATGACGTCGGCCTCCATCTCCGGCCACACGCCCTGTATCTTGTCCTTGAGCGTCCGTATGCTGTCCGACGGCTCCACATCCACCTCCTTCGGATCCTTGTCCTTCAGAGACTTCACCTTCAGCTTCATCGCTACCTACCACTCACTGAATGACACGGTGCTCACGACCTCGCCGACAAACAACAGCACACGTCACGGACCCAGATCAACGCGGGAGCTGAGGTCTGGGCACAACAGCTCGCATTGCTGTCCAAGCTCGCACTGGCTGGCCACCTGGGGATGGGCGGTATCTACGTAGTCATGGTGCAGGATGCACGCATGCACGCCGCCTTCAAGCTGCTGCTGGGGTGGCGTGTGTGCGACGTCGTGTGCCTGCCTGTATGTTGCCGTCGTTCGCGGCACATTGCATGTCCTCCTGTTTGCTGCATCTGCCCTCTGCGTGCTGCGTGTTGCGTGCCCGGGTTGCATGTTAGGGTGCGTGTTTTCATGTTGGACAGACCGACAGACAGGGGACTTGGCCGCCAGGCCGCCTAGGGTGCTCCCTGAAACCGCTGCTGCTGTCCAAGCTCGCAAATGTGCCCACCACCACCACCGCCAGAGGGGATTCGCGGCGATGGATGGACAGGAGCATCTACGTGATGTACATTCAGGAGGCGGCTGCTACTGGATGAGTCTCCCACCATCTACCCCGAATGACTGAGGAGCTCCCTATTCCAAGAGGTGCCACCAGCAGCTGTGGCGTCACCGGGCCTACGGGTGGCCGCCTGCTGTTCAAGCTTCCGGGGTGGACGTCAGGAGTCCCTCTGCGAGTCGTCGCTGCGTCGTCGGCTGAGAGCCGGCAATGGGCAGTCCCGGCGACCTTCGAGGCGGCGGATGCTGATGTGCCTGCTGATCAGCTCAAGCCTCTCACCCACTACCTCTGCCTCTACCCGGATTTGGGGGTCATGCTGGCTCACTGTGGCGACGAGGGGCAGCAGACAGCGGCCGCTTCGTTCTTCAAGATCATGGGCAGGCTCAAGAAGAGGGCGCTCAAGGGGCGGAAAGTGTCCCGCTCGGCCGACAAGCGTGTCTACTTCGAGGTGCCGGCAAACGAGAACTGCCTCTATGTCTTCTTCCACGACGATGCTGCGGCATCCGGTCTCCCGGAGAGCGCGGCGAAGTGGTCGCTCATCGACGCAGTCAGGGATCGTCTCAGGCCGCTGCCAACCGATGAGGAGTACAAGGCTCAGCTTGATCGGTGGCGGAAGATGGCACAGGATCAGGCTGCCCCCAAACACACCGCTGCTGCTGCTGCTGCTGCCGGTGGTGTGGCGTCCACCGAGCGTGAGAGGGATGACGTGGAGACCTCCCCCAACGGCGCCGGGTCCAACCCCAGCCCCTCGTCGCCGCAGGCCAAGGAGGCCCCCCAACAACCATCCACCACCAATCAAGACACCGCTGGCAACAACGACGGCACGCAGCGCGGCGGCCATGAAGCGAAGGCTCCTGCGGCATCAAACGGAGAGGCACAGCAGTCAAGGGAGCAGCCAAAGCAGCAGGAGACCGTCGAGGTCCAGCCACGGGAACCACCAGCACAGGACGAGGGAGATGCCAAGCCGTCACCTTCCCGCCCCGCCGACGCGCCCGCTGTCGACGAGGCCAAAGCCAAGGAGCCGCCACGGCCGCCCATCGTTGCTGCAGCCAAGAGCAAGCTGCGGCCGCCAAAGTCGCCGGCACAGAAGGGCACAGATGCCAGCATCGAGGGGAGAGCCGCAGAGAGGGAGAAACAAGCTGAGGGAGCGGTCGGCAAATCTGGTCAGGTCGCTGCTGCTGCTGCTGCTACTGCTGCAGGAGGCCAAGTCGACGAAGCAGGACCGGCTCACCGTGACAGTGACGTCCCAATGGAGCCTCCGTGTGCCCCACCACCTGTGGTCATCCCGACCCCCGTTGCCCCGCCTGCAGCACCACCACCACCCCGTGAGGACGCGGTCACGGCGCCACCACAACCGCCCGCCCCCCGCTGTCCACCACAGACAGAGGTGAGACAGACGGAGCACCATATGGGCGGCGTCCTGATTCATGCATGCGCCTCTCATCTGTTGTTTGTGTGTTGATGCTGTGCTGCAGCCACCACCATCACCATCACCATCGCCGCCACGGCCCGCCCCTTGCCCTCCACCGCTGCAGAGAGAGGAGCCACCGAAGGAGCCACCAAGGCAGCCCAATGGAGCCCAGCCACCTGCTCCTCCCGATGAGGCGACGGTGCCTCCGGCACCACCCCCGCTGATCTTGCCGCCCATTGGAGTCGGGCAGGCGGAGGCGGAGAGGGCCATGGTTGTTCCTCCCGTCCGAGAGGTCGATGCTGCAGCACATCTTGCCGCTATCAACGGAAGGCGTCGCCCCAAGAAAACGCCGGCATCGTCGCTGGTGCCGCCACGACCAGACCAAGGAGGGGAGGACGTGAAGCCGCCTGGCGGGGGCGGCAGTGCTGGTGTGTGGCTGCTGGGGTGTGTGGGAGAGCTCGTCGATCGGGCGGCGGATGCCGGGGCGAGACGAGTAGACATCAGCCATGACTACTGGTGGGAGGGACGAAGGAAGGAATGCACGAAGCGAAGCGAGAGACCATTCATTTGATGCATGTGCTGCTTGTGTGTGTGTGTGGGTGGGTGTGGGTGTCTCACCAGGCGGCAGTGCATCGTTGTTCGGGATGACGGTGCCGGCATGAGTAGCGACGGGCTGAGGGAGAAGCTCAGGAAGACGCCCGTGAGACCTGGCCAAAATGTTCCGCTAAACCAAAGCCCACTCGAGCGGTATGCTGTGCCGACACATGACATTCATTAGACAACACCCACCCCACTGGCACACGCGTCATGACGCCCGTTGTGTCTGTCGTCACTGATTGATGCAGCTTCCCTGGCGCCTTCCAGCGCGCCATTCGATGCCTGAGTGACTCTGCCCTCGTGCTGTCCGTCGCCAAGCACCCAGACACGTCCAAGCAGGAGGCCGCCATCGGCTATCTCTACAAGCGCACAGACGACAGCAAGGGGCGGGATGTTTATGTGCTGCAGCACGGGTCGGCGACCGTGAAGATCAATCGACATGAGGGGGGCGGGGGGGAGGGGAGTCGGTTGGATGGGGTGCGTGTGAAGGTTGGGGCCATGGATGAGGTCATGTTGGAGGCCATCAAGGAGAGGACGGGTCTCACCAAGGGCGATATAGGTGAGTGAGGCAACCACGCACACACCGTACTGACACCGTACCCCCGTGTGTGTGTGTGTGTGTGTGTGCAGATAAGGAGGTGTGTCGGCTTGTTTCGCTCACCGTCGACAAGAGGCTCGTGGTCGACCAACGCGTCGAGGCCATGTGCGAGGCGAACGGCACATCCGTCATGCTCTACCGCCTCACAAAGCCACACAAATCGTCACATCTACGCATCGGAATGCGTAAGCAGACCACTCTCAACCCGTCACTCACCTGTCCACACACTTCTCCCTCCGCCTCTCACATTGACATTCAGGCGCCTTCTCTCCCGAGAATGAGGCGGTCCTCCGCACCGACACTTCGTATCACCTACCCTCTTTCTACCCATCCCCAACTCAGCAGCAGCAGCAGCAGCAGCAGGAGGACCTCTCGATGTCCCTGCCGGCCGTCTGCGGCACATCCTTTTCCCTCCAGGCCTACCTGGAGCACCTCTACATCATTCAGCCCAAGAAGGGCGCGAGGCCGCCCACCATCGTCTACAATGGGCGCAAGATCGAGCACTCGGCGCCGATCGGTGCGACGACTGGCGCGTATGCGAGGGTGGATTTGAAGACCATCAAGAGCAGGATGGTCCTCAACTATCGCGAGGAGGTGGCCAGCCATGGCATGGGCGGCCTGTGGATTTACTGGCAGCCAGACAAGCTCCCCTACTGCAGGTAGGGTAGTGCAGAGAAAGAGAGAGCCAACATCGCAACACTAGGTCATGGGGCTCCTCTCTCTTCTTCCTTGTTTGTCCTCATCCATCCAGGCTGATCAGTTGTTGGCGCAGTCCATTGGTTGGCGAGCCGCCCCTGTCCCACCCAGTCAGCGACCTCAAAGGCATGGTGGCCTTCCTGAAGCTGCAGTCCTCCCACGAGCCACACTGCGTCCTCCTGCCGTCCAAGCAAGACTACTCCCTGTCGCCGCAGCTGCAGGAGGACATTCAGGCGAAGGTGCTCGACTGGGTCGACAGCCACCTCAAGCCCTTCCTCCGAGGCGAGAGACAGTTGCCCCCACCACCCAAGAGGTCACATATGGCGGCGGCCAAGCGTGGCCAGCGGGCGCTGCCACTGATGGAGGGGAGGAGTCCTTCGCCTGAGGCGTCAGAGGGCGAGGATGAGGGCAAGGAGGGCGAGATGGTCAAGCAGACTTCTGAGGCACCGGCGGCAGCAGCTGCAGCGGCCGTTTCCAATGCTGGCGTGCCCAAGAGGAAGCCACGGGCGGCGGCCAAGCAGGGCCCCACCAAGGCCCAAGACCTCGCCCAGCGGAAGGCGGCTACGGTGGCAGCGGCCGGCACCGTCAGCCAAGGCGACAAGAGGGATGGTGCGGTTGTCCCTGCGGCCAAGAGTCGTGTGCGGCCTCAGCCCTTCGCAGCGGTCATGCAGATGAGCAAAGACATGCAAGACAACAAGGGACGCAGCGAGACAGAGAGCGCAGCAGCAGCAGCAGCAGCAGCGGCGGCCGGCCACATGGCTGAATCCGACGCAGCTGAGGAGGCTGCTGGATACCAGGTGTGCATCGTCAAGCGCCCACGAGAGGACAAAGAGGAGGGCCAGGGGGAGGGGGAGGGGGCGCCTGCAGCCGATGACACATCGCCAGCTCCTGAGCCTGTCAAGAAGTCGAAGCGTCGTCGGCTCATCCGGCCACCTCGGACACCCGACAGCTCCCCACTGGCACCATCAGTACAGCCGACCCCTCCTGCACCACACGAGGGCCAGCGCACGCCCGGTCAAGCCGTCACTTCACCACCAGCACCGGCAGCGCCACCAGAGGAGTCTGCGAAGGAAGCAGCAAGTGTCACCGGCGAAGACAATCGGCCACAACCTCCGTCGGCACTCGGCCCTCCGCCCGTTGGCCGTGCCGACGAGGAGCGTCATTTGCGGCCTCCGCAAGTGACCGTTCCTGTGGGCGATGTGACGAATGGCGTCTCGCCGCCCGAGATCGGTTCCTTTGTGGAGAGCCCCATGGGCGTCAAGGACCCCGCGCATCACGGCGAGGAGGACAATATCACACTGGCCGTGGCCGAGGCTGACAAGCACAATGGCGGGCCGCCACACGCAGCGGACGCTGAACATGCGGGCTCTAGTAGTGGTGGCGGTGGCGCAGAGCCGATGGAGGCTGACATCCCGCAGGCTGCGTCAGAAGGGCCTCTCGGTGCAGCTGGCGAGGACAGCAGGCGGAGGGGCGGCCCTCGAGGGCGGCGGAGGGGGCGAGGCAGGAGGGATAGCATGCCACCCCAATCTCACCGTGACGACGGCACCGGTGCGATGCAAGTGGAGCAGCCACAACAAGCGTCATGTGACGCAGCTCACGACGAGCAGGAGAAGGCGGCGGACGAGGCAATGGCAGACAGACCACTGGGTGATGGTGAGCCAGCCCAACCTGCCCAGTGCAGACAGGCGGCAATGGAGACAGGCGAGACGGCCGGAGAGCAACAAGCCGACAGCAACTTGCCAGATAATAATGGCCCTTTGTCGGTAGACGTGTCTGCCGCCGTGCCCAGAGCAGAGGCCGAGTTGGCCGTGCCTCTTTTCCCCGAGGCACAGGACGAGCCCAAGAGGGGACGGGGTTCACGGGGAAGAGGCAGACCCAGAGGACGGCCCAGGAAACGCGCAGGAGGGAGAGGCAGGGGACGGCGACACTCGGATGCCTCGGCAGACCAGACAGAGCTCATCGAGGGCGACGCACCGACACCCCCGTCTGCGGCCCCCATGGCCGCTCTGACCAAGCCCTTGCCGGCTGATGCGCGTGTCAACGAGGAGTCTGAGGATGGAGTGTCCAAGGGATCACCCGTGGGCAGCGCTCGCGCCGCTGCGCAGCTGCGCATGACCTCTCCCCCACGGGCCTCTGCGGTCGGCACTGCGACAAGGGACGAGCCGGACAGAGGCGGGGAAGCAGACGAGGCTGACGCAGCCAACGTGCCGCTACCTGCTCCCTCCCCGGACGCGCCGGTCGCTGAGGACGCCATGCTTCCTGTGCCGGATGACCGAGAGAGAGAGGAAATCGGTGCGCCCCAGCCTGAGCCCCCCGTCGCCTCTGAGGCGCCCTCTGCCGGTGCACCGGCAGAGGTTGAGTCGCAAGTGGATGCTTCACCCCCCGAGGCACACCCACCTCTTGCAGCCGCTGCAGCAGCTGTCTCTCAGGCCGCTCAGCCAGCTGTTCTTGACACCCCTGTCCCCCCGCCGGCGGCTCCCACGATGACGCCTTCCAGTCCACCGCCACCGGTCCAGCCGGCCCCCATTGCCGCTGCTGCTTCGGTGGCAGCGGAGCCACCACAACCATGCGATGAGCAGCAGCAGCAGCAGCAGGCAATAGTTGACGAGAAGTGGGCGAAGCAAGTGGATGAAGAGCAGCTTCCCCAAGCCGAAGCAACACCAGCACAAGCACAGCCGCCACCAGCTGCTGATGAGACCCCTCCGGCGATTGAGGCCGCTCTCACCCCCCGTCGGAGAGAGAGGAACAGGCCAAGGAGTCGCGCTCCTTCTGTGGTGCCTGAGGGTGCTGAGGTGATCGACCTAGAGGGGGACGATGAGGCGGCGCAACCACAGGCTCCTCCACGTGAGGCGCCACAACACCCACAAGGCACCTCTGGCCACGCGGAGAGTGCTAGTGCTGGAATGGTTGGAGAGGCGGAGATCGGCGAACCCTACCAGGAGGGTGCTGGTGGAAGTGAGGTGGCTGCTGCCGCTGCTGCTGCTGCTGCTGCTGGGGCAACGGCTCCGGTGGCGAGCGACATGCGTGGGCTTTCTTCCTTGGACATGCCGCCACCAGATCCGATCATTCGCCCGCAGGAGGGTCAGAGACGCCTCATCAACGAGATCGCTCAGGCCATCACCGCTGCTCCACCATCCGTCGCCCCGAGTCAGCCTCCCAGGCAGCCAGGGCCTGTCCCACCCGCTTTCGCTGGCTCCTCTGCTGCAGCAGCAGCAGCAGCAGCTGTCCGTCAGTCCATTCAGCCAATCGTCCTCGACACCCCTGTGCCCCCATCGGCTGCGCCGATTATGGCGCCTCCCAGTCCACCGCCACTGTTCCGGCCGGGCCCCCCCGCTCCTGCCCCCCCTGCTGCCACTGCTGCTCCTGCTCCCGCCGGTGGTCGTCAAGCGTCGGACGCCATTGTTATTCAGGACGACGATGAGGAGACAGCCGGTGGTGGCGCGAAGCCGCCCCCACCTCCTCGCAGGGCTCGGAAGAGAAAGGCCACCGAGGCACCTTTGGCCGCTGCTGACCAGGAGGGACCTGGCCCTTCTCGTGCACGCCAGGGAGCTGATGGTGGTGGTGGCGGTGAAGCCGCTGCTGCCGCTGCGGCAGGGCGACCGTCGCCCTCGTCCGGTGGGATGAGCTGCGAGGAGCGTCGGCAGCTGTTGCGGCAGCAGTACTGCTACGAGCCGACGCCGCCCATCCCCCAGATACCGCCGCACCTCAACCCCGCACAGAGACGCGGCCACATCGACAGCATCACCTGCGGATCACACACCGTGGTCAGTCCGGCTGCTGCTTCGGCACTCGCCGCGTCGGCTCGGTCGGCAAGGGCAGCACCAGCGGCTTACTCGCACCCTTCACCAGCAAGTGGCAGCATCGGGCCCCCAGCACGCGCGTCGAGGGATGGCAGCAGGGGCAGCCCGGCACCACCACCTGGAGTCGTCTCACCCCACCCCAGCCGTGTGCCAACCAGACCACCGGCTCGCGTCTCACCCGGATCCCACTCTCAGGCCCCTCAGCAAGAGAGAGATCCGTTCGTCCCGGCTGCCTGGGCAGCGCTGCGGGATCGATCCTACGGTTCAGCTCCTGGCCTGCGGTCGAGTATGGCTGTTCCTCCCGCCCCTGGCGGCACGAGTGGTGTGGGGCCGCTGCTGCCGCCAGCATTATACGCTAGGACGGGGTCGGTCATGCAGTCGAGTAGGGAGCTCAGCCTGGGGCCGGTCACCATGTCCCAGATGGGCAGATACGCAACGCCCGCCGCCAGCGAAATGCACCCCCACCACCGCCGGCACCACCAGCACCCTGCGCGGCCAGCGACACGACCTCCGTCACAAGAGAGGAGTGCGTATCCGTATGCAGCCCAGCATGCCATGCCCCAGCCGGCACCCTTGCAGCAGCAGCAACAGCAGCAGCATGCCTACCAGCCTCACACACTCCCCCAAGCGGCGAGACCCTTGGCGGCATACGGGCAGCAGCAGCAGCACACGGGAGGGCAGATGCCGGCGTTTGTGAGGGCGTTTCAGGTGGCCAGCGTAAGGCCGGGCGGAGGGGGGGCTCTTGTTCCTCGCCTGTCGCGTCCCCCTGACTTGCTGCAGCCGTCATGGACGGGGGGCTCTAGTAGACAATAGGTAGCACTTACAGGTGATGGAGTCAGTCATGATGGTTGGTGCTTTTAGAGGGAGGCAGGAGAGTCGGATGTCAGTTAGCTAACCAGACAAGAGCGGTATCGGTCAGTCAGTTAGTCAGTCAGTCAGTCACTTAACACTTCACAGACAAGAGAAGTGGGAGGGCTCCGTGGATGCGATGCGTGGATGGGTGGTGTGTACATACATACGCCGTGTAGGCACGGCAGACAGAGATGAATGGCTGAGGGAGGGAGGGAGGAAGGGAGGAAGAGAGGGAGGGTTGGGGTCCTATTTATCCTGATGCGGCCATGCTGATGGCTCTGGGGGCATGTCTAGGTTGCCGCATTTGTCGTGCCGGTCTATCCACTGGTTAATGGCCATGGTGTGTGACGGCGTGACGCACTGAGGGCCATCTGGGGGGGTGTGGACGCACACT